TTTAAATATTTTCCGCTAAGTAAAATTTATTCCCAGACACTTTTTGACTCATTGATTGAGGCGCTTGAGAGCGACCATAGTCAAATCAGATCCTCTACATTATAGTTAACGTCAAAATTATTAAATTGCGGCTGAATTGCAACAATAGTACATTATTTTACGGCATTATTGCGTTTATTTATATTGTTAGTCGACAGTTTGCTGAATTGCGGAATCTTATAAATTAATTTTGTTGCCAACTATACTCTAATATATCTTGTGAGAACTAAACGTTTGGTATTATTTATTTACAAATGAGAAAAAAACGGCAATATGGAAAATGAGCATATATTTGCCCAAATTTGAGGTTGCACTTGTTTGATTCTAGATTATCTAAAAGCTATTAAAACGATGAAACAAATTTTGACTTGTAATTATGAGCACTTAATGCGTCAATATAGATTAAATACACGTGTTAACATAGTGTAAAAACATTGATACAATAATAATCTGTTTGTTTTTTTTTAAATTGATGTAACGTTATTATGCTATAACTTTATTTGATTTAATATTATTATGGTGCAATCGAGTACGCCAATGGAAAAAAATTTTTAAAAAATCAATAAGCCAAATATTTAAAATGTTAGTATAAAATTTTTTGTTAGGCAGTTTTAAACTATAAGACTTAGTAAACGCAGGTCCAAATACTATCAATTGGGTACACTTATTGTATTATTTTAACTGACAGATAACCAGTTATACTTTTGTATATTTGTCACATCACTGCTTATATAATGATGAGTTATAAAAACATTCAAGACTTGAAAATAACTTCTAAATATATTCACAAAGGAAAGATCAAGTATATCAATATTTACCTGTGTCATTTCATATTCACTTAGTCTGTGAACATAAAATAAACCGAATTTAGCAGTAAATATGAACATTATTGGCAAGGAATTTAGGTAAGCCCATGATATTTACTTATTAAGGAATATTACTAGCGATGGTACTGCGCGGATCCGTATTATAATTCATTTAACCGGCCCACATTAACACAATTTTATCAAATAAACACCGATATATTACGACCATAAAATTTTATAGAGTTCACGCTTATATACATATGGTCGAGAATTATTCTGGAGTATTATGTATACAATGCTAGGCAAAATTGACGAATAATGCACATGTTGAATAGTCATAACGAGAAGATATATTAATAATGTTTACTTATTTTGTAAGCCAGATCAATGTAAGCAGCCAAATAAAATAAGTTAAAAAACTAATTTTATTAAGTTATATAATTAAGTTAGAAAATGCTAATTATAATTAAATATAATTTCTTTATAATTAAATATAGTTTTTCATATTTAATTTAAATATAGTTTTTCATATTTAAATTGAATAAAATAACTTTGATAAGTTAATAATAAAATGTTGAAGGAAGGAGGTATTTTGATGAAGTATAAGTCAATAAAAAACTTTTTTTTTATTTTTAACATAAAAATTACTTGTCTTTTATTATAAGGCTGCGGATCAAAATTTTATTATATTTTACACTCTGAAAAGAACGAATGTTGAAAAATTCGCACGAACCAAATCACTGAATCAAAGGTATCTTTGTCTAAAAGCTATAATGAGAATGGAATTTTTACGAAATAGGTATCGTGATAAATTAAATACAATTGATATACGTAACTCATTGAATTTGAACATTATTTATATCATTCAATTCCTCTCAATGAGGAAATCAAATGGTATTAACAGTATTCAAATCTAGTTGCCGGATCGCGAGATATACTAATATTGGATACATTACACTTTTTATTTTGTGAGAGGGAGTTATACGAATGTAAGATGTATAATAAAGTTATCTTGCGAAGGGCATATCAAATCACTATTCTTGATAATAGAAAAATGATATAGCCACTATCAAGTAAGTCGCTATTAACAATACGTCTTCTAACCAGTTTGATCTACCATCGAAAAATATAATTCAATACAGTAATAAAGATAAGGTATTAAAATGCGTATTAACTATATAATAAAGTAAAATGAAATGAAAATACAATAAAACAATACTTACCCTATGATAAAAATGCATTATAAATAAAATGACTTCATTATATTAATGATTTTATTTTTTAAAGAAAAATCTTAAATAAACGAACCTGAACTAAGTAATTTTTGAGAATCACAGAAATTAATAAACAAATTGTTTCAAATGGTAGAAAAAACAGAGACATTGATTGATTAACAATCCATCCCAAAATCACCAAAAATGGAATAATAAATAACGCCGTTTGCTATATTTATAGTGAAAAGAAAAAAAAAATCAAACATTACATATAAGTTATAATTATTATACATCACGCAAAGAAATCATAATAGCTGTAAGCATTTTATTTTTCCATGCAGTATTGACGGAGATAATGTACTATTACAATTTAAATATGTAAATACTTATAAGAACAACATCTGAAGATAAACATTTTTAATACCTTAGCACCATGACCAACTATGGGTAGTAAAATTAATCCAATAAAAGTTTTACTTATGTTATGAGATTCAACAATTCCATCGATTGATTCCACGAGGAACCTTGCTGAAAAAGTAATAATCACTGTCATTACGATTAGCAAAACTAATGACGCAATCAGGTTTATATGTTCTTTGTGCTTTTTGTCTCCTTCGTTTTTAGGTAATTTATCAAATAGTTTTTTATGAGTTTTTATCTATATATAAATAATGAGAAATAAATAAAACATACGAATGTAATGTAGACGGAAGTGAAATGAAATTCTATATTACCTTAAACCATAAAAAGAGTAAATATATAACTAATAACACTATTGATGTTCCATAACTTATACGCAAGATATTAACATCAATTTTATCGGCAGGAACACTGGTCAAATTATAATTTCCGCCGATAAGAAGACTAAATGCGGCAGGTATAACTAAAGAAATGCACGCTAATGTCAACACGCTAGAAGTCATTTGTGCAATTGTCGAATTATATTCAAGCTCTTTATTCAATTTATTAGGATCTCTAAGAATCTTAATTCCACCAAAGAGAAAACACAATCCTAATACAAGTAAAATATGAGAATATATAGACCCCAGCACTGCTGCTTGAACAACGCGAATTTGACCATTCACCAACGCAATTATAGTTATTATTAATTCCACCAAATTATCAAGCGTTATACCCAATAGGCTTCCTAGAAACTTTATTAAAATATTAACATTGAAAATAATGAAATAGTAATTAGCATGTCGTGTGATAACAATACCTGACCGAAATGGCGCGAAAGTTCACTATTCGCAAACTTAACCAATTTAGCAGATGGTATAATTACTAGAAAGTTCATTATAAAAATCAATATTGCATTCGAGTTAAGAAAATGTACTATGTATCCCAAGGGAACGAAAAATAGAAGTATATTAGATATAGAATGGAAAATGATTCTTTTAAAAGATTCTATCAAAGATGGTTCTTTTTGAGCTTCTTCGGATTGACTCATTTTTGATGTCTTTTAAAATCGATTCTCATAAGTATTTATAATAAACCCGATCACTATATTAAGATCACTGGGATTAATGAATAACGACAATATCCTGATTCATATGTGAATAAGCGGAAACCTCGTCTCCGCTAATCCCCAATGATCAGGATATTATTATTATTTACTTACGTATATCTGTGCTGTACATAATCTTGCAGTAATTTTTCCGGAATAGGATTGCTACCATATTATTTAAATTTCCTTTTTTCTTTTTTATTGAGTTTTCTTATTTTGCAACGCCCTGTATTGTTGTGGATCGACAAACCTAACTTGATTTCAGATGAGAAACTATGTTAGAATTTATATAACTATCTATCTTCGTATATAGTATATTTACAGTAAATTGAGAAAACTTTCAAATACGTTTTAATTAATGAAATTAATTATATTTTTGAATTAAGCGCCACTTTATTTTACTGTATAAATGTTACTGATGATATTCTTTATTGTCATTGAAAAACAATAATTTAATAAATATTTTATTTCAGTTTTCACATTAATTCTAACTCTATTAATGATGCCTGATGAAATTGTAGGGCTTTCGTATATAATCAAATTAATCCATGCAAAGTTGATTATTTTATTTTGCATTATTCTATCTGATTTTTCTTTTTCATTTTTTTTTTTTTTGCCATACTTATCTGACATTACTTGATGAAGGCTTTAACTTCTAGAAGATATCTGAAAATTTAACTGCGAAAAAATCTACCAAACCTAAAATATTGTAGATATGACATTTAGGGTAGATATGTAAGAAAAGTCAAATAATAAAAATATGTATATGAGTGCGTGAGAATGAAAACCAGGAAATAAAATTTAACCAATCATAAATTTTATTTCCTGATTTTCACTCTCA